ACTGCACTTGAGTCTGGGCGATAGAGTGAGACTCCAACTCAAAAAAAAAAAAAGAAAGAAATAGTAAAACTGCTCACAGCTGGGCAGCTACCTAGTTCTTGGTTCTGGGATCCGGACATCCAAGTTCACAGTAGGAGGACCCAGATCTTTTCTGAAATGTGCTGGTTATGCTGGACCTAGATGGCATGGAGGCTGAGACCTGGCCGAAGGGCACATTATCCATGTGTTCTGATTTAATAAGCCCTGTCTTGGGCTCCAAGTCTGCTCTCCCATCCAAGGGAAGGTTGCAGCTAGACATCTAGACTCCTTATGTAAGCAAAGCAAGGACTCTCTGCAGCACTCTCTGTCTTCAGAATGGGCCCTGAGATGCCTTCTTATAAAAGAGATGGAGATGCCTTAGCATTTTGGGGATCCTGACTTTGATGTCTGATCTTCCTGCAATGCCAGTGTAGGAAGAGGCCAGTAAAAGGAAAAGTGGTCTCTGCTTCCCCACAGGGAGGAGGCCCCAGTCCCACTTGGGGGTTGAGGACCTATGAGATGTGATGATGAAATAATGAGACTAACTTTTGAAAACCGCCTTGGAATCTACTTATCATTTGCTCCCTCAAATATTCAACTGACATTTCTTGGTGTCTGCCCCTTGAGTAGACCATGGCAATTGCTTCCTGGTTCCACCTCCTGCCAGTTCATTCTTTGTGCAGGGATCCAGGGGTGGAGAGGTTTAGGTAAGCAGAGAGGGCTAGAACTATCCTGATTCTAGTGACAGTGGTGGGTGCAGGGAAGCAGAGGAGAGTCACCAGCACATGGGGGGTGGGGGGTGGGGGGTGGGCAGTCCTTCTCATCAATGCATTGGAAATGACCTGGACAGACTCTCTTAGTTCTACTTGAGTGTCACAAACAGGTACCAACTTACTTTCCAGCCGCGTAGACTTCGGCAGTATCAAAGAGGTTAACGCCACTTTCATAGGCGATTGTCATCAACCGTTCAGCAACCTACAAGGGGACAAGAGGGTCAGTCTGAAATGCCAAATGCTTTCCAAACCTGGGAAGTGATTTCGAATCCTCTACTGGTCTTTAAGAACACTGAAATCTAACGAACCACTCCTTGCCTTTTCTCAGTTGTGGTGAAGAGAGAGAAAAAAAGAAGGCTCGACCACCATAACTAGGGTAGAAGTGTCCTTTCCCTTGGACACAGAGGGGAAATAAAAGGATTACTTCAAGGTTGAGGGTCAGTCAGCCCCATTGCACATCTCAGTGAGATGGAGAGATCTGTGTTTCTCACTCTGCTGGGAAGACCTGGTTTGACAACATTCTTTGTGGCACCTTAATCTCTCTGACAAAGAGGACCATTTGTACCATTGATGACACCATTCCTCCACTCCTTTCTCCAAGCAAGCCAAATAGGTTTTGGCAGCTGGGTGATGCCTGTGAAAGCTTATGACTCCCCCTCCCACCCCCACTGCCCACCCTCCCAAGGCTTAGACAAGCTGTGACTATTATAAAGCCACTGCGACCCACGATTAAGCAAAATCCCAGGCGCCACCACAGACTAGTCACTGAATCAACACAGAAGAGGGAGCTAGTGGGTGCTCTAACTCAGGGGACCCATGTCTCCCTTCTGCCCAGCCTGCAAACAGGTCTGAGCTCCGTGTCTTCTTCCTTTGTGCCGCTGAATGCAAGTGTGACTAGCAGAGTACATGACAGCTGTGCACGGCAGCTTGAGGGACAGCCATAGAGGGATAGCTGCGAACCGCAATGGAGAAAGGCCATTTTTTTCATTTGACCGGTGGATTTATTAGTCGTTTGAAAAAATTATGGACCTCACAAATAATTACGATTGATTTTTCCATCATGGTTTTGAGAGTCAGCTAACATTGCTTGATCAGCATTTCCAAGATAAACTGTTTTTCTGTTGCTTTGAAAACCGCCCTACCAAGAAAATTGTTAAGCTTGCAAAATGGCGTCCACGCAGCTCCTTTAGCATAATAGGAGCAGAAATGCGATTCCTCCTTTTAATTTGATGCCATTACAACATTTATACTAGCTAGAGAAAAAAAGTTAAGACAGACATAGTTTTCCCCACTGTGACTGTCCTATGTTTTAGAAATTACTACTTATTAAATTTTTTTTGAGTCAGGCTCTCATTCTGCCATCCAGGCTGGAGTGCAGTGGCATGATTACAGCTCACCATGGCCTCAACCTCCTGGGTTCAGGTGATCCTTCTGCCTCAGCCTCCCAAGTAACTGAGACAACAGGTGCATGCCACCACATCCCCCCTAATTTTTTTTGTAGAGATGAGGTCTTGCCATGTTGCCCAGGCTGGTCTCTAACTCGTGGACTCAAGCAATCCTCCCGTCTTGACCTCCCAAAGTGCTGGGATTACAGGTGTGAGGTGGCTTTGTTTTCGAATTTTTTTTTTTTTTTGAGTTGGAGTCTCACTCTGTCACCCAGACTGGAGTGGCCGCTCCTGGCCACCGCAGCCTCGACCTGCTGGGCTCCAGAGATCCTTCCGCCTCAGCCTTCCAAGTAGATGGAACTACAGGCGTGCACTAGCACGTCTGGCTAATTTTTGATTTATTGTAGAGATGAGGTCTCGCCAAGTTGCCCAGGCGGGTCTCGAACCCGTGGGCTCAGGCAATTCACTCACTTCTGCCTCCCAAAGCATGGAATTACAGGCTAAGCCACCGAGCCTGGCTGTTTTAGAAATTATAGTGCTTGTATACATTAGCCTTGTGTTATGTCAGATGGCATACTGGTAAATTATTATTGGAAAATGTGCACAATTAAAGCTTATCTAGAGAGAAATTTTAAAATAATATGGAGGCTTATTTAAATGATGGGTGAGATGCCTCCCAACCATAGAATTTGAAGACCTGAATGTGGAGTAATGAAAACAAAAATCACCAAGTAAGTCTGAAGAGCGGTTACTGGCTTTGAGTGTCCCACTGACTAGATAAATACATTTGAGCAAATCATTTGACCTCTCTGTTTTGTCAGTTTCCTCATCTGCAAAATGAGGATGATTCTGTTGAGGGATCTCCTCTCTCCCATGAAGCCCAGAGGCCTTAAGGGAAACTGACCTCATGTCCCTCCCACAGGGCTGGATGAGCAAGTGGCTCAGGAAAAGTCATGGGACACATTCCGGCCAATGAGATGTGAGGAGAGATTTGCTGAGGCCTTCTGGGAACAATTTTCCTTGTTCTTCTTACAGAGAAGCAACATTCTTTCCTGCAGTAACTGTTCTAATGAAGGCCTAGAATTCCTGCAGCTATCTTCCTGCCTGAAGAAGTTGACATACAAGGGAACACAGGGCGAAGAGACTGGACGGAAAGTGGATTGTGAGTCGCTGACTGAGGCCGTCCTGCAGCTTGCTTTACTTCTATACCTCTAGTTTAAAAGTCATAATAATTTCTCTCTTATTGATTAAGCTGATTTGAGTTGGGTTTATGATTACCTGCAATTAAATACACCTTAACTACCTTACAGATAAGAAAATATAAATAAAACTCTAAAAATTAAGTGCTGAAGATGATAATATACTTATCACTATCTTTTAAAAGCATCATTCATATGAGTAACATCTACCTTTTTTTTTTTTTTTGTGAGTGAGTCAAAGTCTCACTCTGTAGCTCAGGCTAAAGTGCAGTGGTACAGGCACAGCTCACTGCACAACTCCTGGGCTTAAGTGATCCTTCCACCTCAGCTTCCTGAGTAGCTGGAACTACAGGTGTGTATCACTACACCCATCTAATTTTTTATTTTGTTAGAGACGAGGTCTTGCTATGTTGCCCAAAATCCTGGACTCAAGAAATCCTTCAGTCTTGGACTCCCAAAGTGCTGGGATTACGGGTGTAAGCTACCACAGCTGGCCAATCTATCTTGATTTTATGATGAATCTCAATCATCTTTGAGAGGCACCTTACAGAGATACTCAGTTTGCTGTCTGAATCCTTTGGAGATTCTTCCTGCCAAGCAGTAATTCAATATATCATTGGACTCTCCCGGTGATGGGGACATCCCCACTCCCAAGGTAGTATTGTCAAAAAGGATTCTTTTTTTAATGACTGGGTGAGATGGCTCACGCTTGTAATCCCAGCACTTAGGGAAGCTGCGGAAAGAGAATCGCTTGGGCCAAGGTGTTCGAGACCAACTTGAGCAACAGAGGGAGTCCTTGTCTCTACAAAAAATAAAAAAAATTAGCTAGGTGTGGTGGCACGTGCCTATAGTCTCAGCTACTCCAAAGGTAGAAGGATTGCCTGAGACCAGGAGGTTGAGGCTATGGTAAGTTGTGATCGTGCCACTGTACTCCAGCCTGGGTGACAGGGTGACACCATGACTCAAAAAAAAACAAAAAACAAAACAGGAACCACCTTTAAGAACTACCCTTAAGGACTTGTTCTGGGCTTGGAATTTTTCCAGGAAGCACCTCCTAATCTTCACCATCATCCTGCTGAGTAGAGGGTATTTGCATTTTATTGATGGGTAACTCAGCCAACATAAATGTGAGGACATCAGGTTGGCCAGTGGCAAACTGGGACTGGATCCGACTTAGTGTATCCACTCAGATACACTGTCCTTGACTCCTCAGTGGGCCTCCTCAGGCAAGGAAGAGTCAGAGGAATTCAGAGTATTGACCTCAGGGGAGTTATTGGCACTTGATGCCTCTATTCTGGACTTTCCTTAGAGGCAATGATAAAAATATCACTTAGGAAATGCCATTATACAGGTGTAAATGATGATCTAAAGGCATTTTATGGTAAATATATGGTAAATATAAGAGCTGCCATTTATCAAGTGCTACCTGCCAATCAGAGGGCCATATAAGCATCTCACATGCATGACATAGTCACCTTTTCAGCAGACCTTCCAGATCAGCATCATCTCATTTTACAGAGGAGGAACTGAGGCTCAGAGATGGTGGGATTAACTTGCCCAAGCCAGGGTGACCAACTGTCCATCTTCCCCAGGACTGAGAGAGTTTCTGTGATGTGAGGTTTTACTGCTAAAACCGAGAAAGTTCTGTGCAAACTGAAACCAGTTGGTCACCCTCGTTGGAGCTAAAATTAAATAAACCGAACAAAACCACACCACAGCAACAATAAAATCTTTTCATAAAGTGACGAGTGTTAATTCCAAACGGTTTCATTCTCTAACTGTTCAACCTGCGCATAGAATAGATTGACAGGCTGGAGGGCTATTAATAGTCTAGATGTGAAAAATACAAGAGGCAAGAAAAAATCAACAGCAATCTTTGAGTCCATCTTAGGCATTTGCTGTGACTCAAACATTGTCCCTGGAAAATGTCAGGGTCCCAGGAAGAGTACTCCCACTGTTCAGCTTTCTCTGCATTTTCTCTCATCAGCATAACTGAGGCCAAAATTAACTTACCTCATCTGAAATTTGACCTCCAAATGTCACCCATGTTCCTGGAAAAGAATAGATATTTGCACATTATTCAAAATAATTCTCCTAAAATTTACATACTCAGAGGAAACCGCTACTAGCTCACGGCTGCCTCCATAGGTTGTACAGGTAGCTCATAAAGGTGCCCAGATGAGAAGCACAGGTGGCCGCCGTCCAGCCCGTCTTCCCACTACATATTCCACAAGGGGTCTGCATTCATTTGGAAAAATGGGTGCCTTTTTTTCACTCAAAGTCATCATATTTTCTAATGGCAGCCTTGCCCTAAAAGCTGCTGTTTCTTCTGCTATAGGACCACGAAGGTGGTGTATTCAAGCTTACTTCAGCTACACAACCTTGTCTTACTGAACCAAGAAGCCACTGGTTCTGAAAGCAAAGGTTTTGGTCTTTCCCTTCTTTGCCTCCAAAAAGGGCCCTATTTTGTACTCCTTATTGTTTCTCAAACGATGTCCTCTCATCAAACGATGTCCTCTCAGATGTCCCACCAGAGCCCACTTACAAGACCCAGGAGGTGACACTTACACATCTTCTCCGTCACAACCTGCTGATCCAGAATGGAAATCTCCATTGATTTGGGGGTGAGGGTGGAGGCAGCATCTGGAGTAAGGTTTGGGAAGGCGAGGGGAGAGAGGCACACTCAGCAGCCAAAGATTTGCAAAGACTCGTGAAGCAGGAGGGAAGCTGACATGGAGGGGGCCCTTGCCATGCCAGTCTCCAGTCACCTTAGTCACTCATTTCCTCCTGTATCCATGTCTTTTGAGCCCCAATTCCATGCCAGGTAAAGGCATTGAATTCGTGTTCAAGGGAAAGTGAGAGAACTGACCCAGTTCCTGTCTCCCAGGAGCTCATGGTTTATGATACCATCTGACAAATGCTAGGACTGAGGCAAACACAGGGCAGCAGGAAGGGAGAGCTCTACTTAGACCAGAGGGAGGTGGCACTCAAGGACTTCCTAGAAGAGGTGACAGCGTGGTTGAGTCTCATGGGCGTTAACTGAGAGAAGAAGAAAGGGACAGGCCTTCCGGAGAGAAGCAAGAGTGTGAACAAGGCAAGGAGATAGGAAATTTTAGAAAGAGTGGGGGTGAGGGGAGTGAGAGGTTGCACCATTAGGCCATGAGATGAACCTGAGCCATGGGAGCAGAGGAGGGGGAATGGGCAGGAGTGAGAGGGGCAGGGTCTGGGCACAAGGGACAATCATGGGACATGCAAAGAAATGCTGTTGGAAACATATATTTTGCAATTCATAATAACAGTCACAGCTGCCATTTATGGAACACCTTACAAGTGCCAGACAGTATGCTCAGACATTTTCATATTTTTATCTTCATCATTTTGACAAACTTACCAGGCAATCTTATTAATCCTTATTTCCAGATGACGGGTCGAAGATTAACCAACCTGATAAGTGATTCTCCAAACATGACTGGTTTCAAGAAGGGGATTTTTTTTTTTTAAATCACACACACCACCCCCTTAGAATATCTCCAAATTAATTATGACACTTGGATTTCATACTCCATGGCAGTATGTTGATGTAATTGTCACTTTTTCCTTAGTTCTCAGGGATTAACACAAAAGTAGAGGGGGAATTATTTTACTGTTACACTTTCCATCCCCAAAGGTTGCAGATGGCAGCCCACTGGCTGCACTCAGCTTGTGGACTTATTTTCTTGACTAGAGTAGTGTTGAACCACATAGTATTTTATTACATTTTGAATAAGCTCCCAACATTTAACCAAAATTAGGAGCTTTTTCTTAAAATGTTCTAATTTCCAGTTTCTCTTGACTATAGAAGACTGTTGTCCCCAAAAGATAGACCTCCCCTAAATCTGAAGGGCAGAATCTTCTGTGGAAAAACTATGCCCCCCTGCAGTTAGTTTAAGCCCCCACATCTTCCTGCTGTTTTTCCAGCACTGAAATCAAATAGCAGTTTCTATTTACTACCACACACTTACTGCCATTTTTTCTAACTGTAAAATGAAGAGGAAAATGAAGTTCTACATCTCCTAAAAAAACAGAATTGAGTATCTTAAGAAAATATAGGAGTGCACTTTTTTTTTTTTTGGTGGATGGAAGAATATCCAAACAAAACATGTTTGCACAAAAAAATTACATCTTATGGCACCATAATAAAACCAGCCATGGCTGGAATACAGAAAAGATGGGCATTGGAAAACTTAATGGACTGAAAAAATGGCACCATTTGTTTTTGAATGAGAAGCAAATAAGTAAGCTGCTGTGAAATACAGTTCTTTATTAAGTGAAAAAATTGCCTCAGCATCAAAACCTTTTTACAGACAACTCGTTTATAAAAGAGCCTCTTTTGAGTACTGCAGAAATTATATGTCCAGAGCATTAACAAGCATTTGCAAATGTTAGTCTAACCAGCAACTTTGCAACTCGGAATGTTAAAAATATGATTGAGAACTTTGAGGACAAGTTAAATTAAGGGTGGCATTTTCTCTTGCAGCAAATGAGAACACAGATATAAAGAATAGCACACTGTTGGCTATATTGATTTTGGTGTGGTGAGAATTTTGAAGAGGTCAAAGAACTTCTGGACAAGGAATCCACAAAAGGCAGAACATCAGGAAAACATGACTCTGTGTGATGAAAAATGTCTCAGACCATTTGGCTGTAGAATGGCCTGGTCAGTAACCACGTGTTACCACAGTAGGAGCTCTTAGGATGGGTAGGGCTGAGGTCAGGCCTGTCAAGTGACAGACCAGAAGCAGCACTATTTTGTAAGGACACCGTCTCCAAGTCCATGAAGTTCCTCATTCATCAGAAATTGCTTTCGGCAAAAAGCTTAAATGGGACAAGCCATGAATTCAGTAATTAATACCACAAATTGGCTATTCTTCTATGTCTGCAAATGAAATCAGGTCAGTGTTTGCTTAATGAATTTGCTGGCGTTCTTGTGCTGTGGTGCAGAAGAGACTGTTTGAACTGTTCCTGTCATCAAAGGGGATAGTCCTATCTCTGCTTGGCGACGAAGACTGGCCCAAAGTCCTGAGCCTCTTGCTGACACTACGACTCACCTACACCTTTTGAATATTTTTCTACAGGGCATTCACAAGTATTTTCACAAATGTCTCATTTGCTTCTCTCAGTTCTTACAAAGTCAAGTCTTTGGGAAGTTCATTTGTGAAGGAATAATGTGATCTATTTTCCTACATTGCAATCAGTTTCCGGAAATGAAAATGATAGTCTAAAATTTATTCTCTAAAACTGTGCCTTTGAAAACAGAATTCTAAAAATGTTTGCTGACTTCAAACTTTATGAAAATAAACTAGTATTATTTAGCTTACCCTTTGTAATTATTTATTTATTGACTCGGGGTCTTACTCTGTCACCCAGACAGGAGTACATTGGCATGATCACGGTTCACCGCAGCCTGGACTCAGGTGGTCCTTCTGCCTCAGCCTCCCACGTAGCTGAGACTACAGGTATGCACCACCAGGCCCAGCTAATTATTTTTTATATTTTGCAGAGACAAGGTCTCACTATGTTGCCTAGGCTGGTCTCAAACTACAGGGTTCAAGTGATTTTTCCACTTTTAGCCTCCCAAAGTGTTGGGATTACAAGCGTGAGCCACCGTGCTCATCCTCTTTTCATAATTAATTTTTGATAGTACAAATGAACTATTATTGGATGTTATCAAACTATAGACCAAAATGGTACTGAATACTAAACAGAACAATGTTGAAAGCCAGCATTGTACACACATTTTGGAGGAGGTCATTTGGCATATAAGAACCATTGACAATGATCCCATCCATGTTGGGGAGAGTCCGTGTCTAGGGGCACCTCTATTCCTAAATCAAACTGAGAAATCTATCTACCATCCCTGGTTTATGTATTTAAGGCTGCATTACATACATCACAGTGAAAAAAACAGGACCTGAAAAATATCATGGTACATACATAAGAAAAGATGTCAAGTTTTTGGTTCCAAGTCAAAGCAGTAATGAATTATGAAAAAACTACAGTAACAAATGTTTTTCTTTTTAAATTAAATTTTTAACATAAAAGCACATATGATGTCACATATATTTATATTGTTACAAATCTATACTATAAATGAATAATAAAAATGAAGTGTTTGTTTCCATTTCTGGGAGTTTGGCATTCTTACATTCAGCTTACTTTGTTCAGTTAGACAACCTTTCTAGCCTTTTTGATACTTGCTACTCATTTGTTTTCTAGTTATTTGTTTGTAGAGTTTATATTCCTAGAGCGTAAGCTGTCTGAGGGATAGGATTTTAAAAAATTTATCTTTTAATCCTCACAGCTCTAGAATAGAAGTGGTCTTTAGTAGATGGTCAGTAAGGTTTGGCAACATTTAAATAAATTGCCCGTTGACTCTTAGTAATCTTCAAAATATTGACTGGATGTGGTGGTTCACGTCTGTAATCCCAGCACTTTGGGAGGCTGAGATGGAGGGACTGCTTGAATCCAGGAGTTTGAGACCAGTCTGGGCAACATAGCAAGACCTCATCTCTACAAAAAAATTAGCTGGATGTGGTGGCACACGCTTGTAGAGCCAGCTACTTGGGAGGATGAGACAGGAGGATCGCCTGAGCCCAGGAGGTTGAGGATCATGCCACCCATGCCACTCCAGCCTGGTGACAAAGTAAGACCCTGACTCAAAACAAAGCGAACCAAAACAAAAACAAACAAACAAAATCTTCAAAATATTGGGACAATTTCCTACCAAGCACACACATTTATTATGACTTAGAGAAAAATGAATAATGCCCATCAATAATCTTCAGTTCTTCCAGTCTCTAGATGACTGAAATGTTCCTCCCAGGATACCTGCCCAGCCATGCCCCCTCCTGGAAAAGCGCCAGGGAAAAGTCCTCCTCCTCGCCTGCAAGGTCTCCAGCCAGGAGGGGTGGGTGGCCCAGTGTAGGGAATGTCCTTACAAATAGGACACATTATCTCCTGGTGAAGAGGGATAGAGGGACAGCCTTCTAGACAGAAGAACTCTGTTCCTATG